AAAAAAAAAAAAAAAAAAAAAAAAAACAGTCTTAAAATTCCATATTCCCCATTCTCATCAAACATTCACCCGAGGAACCTAACCCCCCTCCCCTACCACTTACACGCGATAACCTAACATCATCCTCTAACGAAACAACCTTATCAATATCTACAATATCTATACATATACATATATATACCATCAACCAGAATCCATAACCAATTCCTCTGTATCCCCAATGAAACACGTTCAAAAACGCACGCAAAGCATTTCACTTCTAAAAGCCACCCTGCCCCCCTCTTCTCCCCTTCCCCACGATGCTAGGGATCCACGATTCGCCGATTTCTTTTTCAACGACGGTAAGCATCCGACTCTCCGTCGGTGGCGGCTCTTTATAATCCCGGACAAGGCTCCCCTTCGTGGGGGCGAGGGCGAGGGGGTGGGGGTAAGAACAATAGCCGAAACACACGGAATACACGGCGGGCTCGAAGTCAAGATGGTGGTGGAAGCCGTGGGTGGTGGGGGAGGAGGAGGTTTGGGAAGGGGTGGTTGAAACGGGAGGAAGATACTCGTTCGCCGTCTCCGCGGTTGTAATTTATTTAAAACCGCTCGCCGTAAATATATCCTCATCATTTATTCACCGGCTCGCCAGCTTCTCGGCGAGGTGGAGGGGTGGTGGGTACGCTTTGCCACGTTCCTTACCGCCTTGCCTTACCTAACCGACGAGAGAGAAGATCCAGGAGGGCCCCGTGTTTTCCGTGTGCACCGAGGAGGAGTCGATCCAGGAGGAACGAGGGGCGGATCCGCCAGGTTGTGGAAAGGGTGGATTGTACGTATATATATATATGGGAATATAGGGGCAGATTCTGTTTTTGAAAAAGGAATGAAGAGTTTCTCAAGTGGTCAAGATAAGTTTAGTGTAAATGGTTGTTTTGTATTGGGTGTCGTTAGGTGAATTTCATATTTAAATTGAAAACTCTGGTGGTGCTTTTTGATGATTGGTTGCAAGGAAGATTTTTATAATAAGTAGTTTTCGTTTTATTGGATGGCAATCTTTGTCGAGATGATGTCTTTTTAATCGAATCGTGTAAATGATATTAAAAGTCACTTGGAGTATTTTGAAAATTTTAGGAGAGAAATTGTGATCCTGAGATGCAATTTTTTCGTTTTATTGGCGGATGGCCAATGGCAATCTCTGTCGAGATGATGTCTTTTTGATGGAATCGTGTAAATGATATTAAAAGTCACTTGGAGTATTTTGAAAATTTTAGGAGAGAACAAAATTATAATCCTAAGATGCAATTTTTTCGTTTTATTGGCGGATGGCCAATGACAATCTCTGTCGAGATGATGTCTTTTTGATGGAATCGTGTAAATGATATTAAAAGTCACTTGGAGTATTTTGAAAATTTCAGGAGAGAAATTGTAATTCTAAGATGCAATTTTTTCGTTTTATTGGCGGATGGCCAATGACAATCTCTATCGAGATGATGTCTTTTTGATAGAATTGTATAAATGATATTAAAAGTCACTTGGAGTATTTTGAAAATTTTAGAAGAGAACAAAATTGTAATTCTAAGATGCAATTTTTTCGTTTTATTGGCGGATGGCCAATGGTAATCTCTGTCAAGATGATGTCTTTTTGATGGAATCGTGTAAATGATATTAAAAGTCATTTGGAGTATTTTGAAAATTTTAAGAGAGAAATTGTGATCCTGAGATGCAATTTTTTCGTTTTATTGGCGGATGGCCAATGACAATCTCTGTCGAGATGATGTCTTTTTGATGGAATCGTGTAAATGATATTAAAAGTCACTTGGAGTAATTTGAAAATTTTAGGAGAGAAATTGTGATCCTGAGATGCAATTTTTTCGTTTTATTGGAGGATGGCCAATGGCAATCTCTGTCGAGATGATGTCTTTTTGATGGAATCGTGTAAATGATATTAAAAGTCACTTGGAATATTTTGAAAATTTTAGGAGAGAACGAAACTGTGATCTTAAGATGCAATTTTTTTTATAAATGATTCAAAATATTATTTGAGTATGACGAAGATGAAATTGAAGTAAATAATTTGACGTTATTGAGTTATTTTGAATAATGAGAGCAGAGTAGCTTCCCAGATAGTTAAATACGTTCTTATCAACGTTGTTTAAGACCGTGAAACGATTAAAAAGTGTGTTTTATCTCGTTGAACTGGCGTAAGAAAACTCGTTCTAGCTTCGACAAACACTTTAACTATTTTATAGGCTCTGCAAACTCGCGCTACCTCGTGCCTAGTATGCGTTTAAACTTCTTTACAAAGGAGATTTTAAGTTTATTTTCGAGATTTGTTACAGCGCGGAATGAACTGTATCCGATTTCTTTTTATTCCATTTATAATTTTCATTACTCTATCGGATGAAACAAGATAACGATTAACGAGATAAGTAAAATCGATAATAAGAATCCCGTTAAAGATTTCGAATCTTTGTATCATCTCAATCACAATTTCGTTAATTCAAAATATCTTTAAACACGATTAAATAAATAAAACAAAACCAATTAAAATATAATATAAAAAAAAAAATGAGGATAAAGAATGCGCCATATTACATTGTTATAAATTGAATCTATACGATGCATCTCATCTATATTAATAGCTCATGATAGGTACGATTATTTATCCGATAACAATAGAACCTATCAAACTAATCTAGGATTAATAATGATTTATTCAATCCGAATTTCGAACGGCTAAATAATTTAATTTTCGAGATGGAATAATCTCAATATACATAAATATCTTGCGCATACAGACATGCGAAACGGAAAATTAGCAGTAGATGAAATTAGACTCGATTCGAGAAATAGCGAATCAACGTTTCGAAAGCTGGAAATCGATCTATTATTCATTTTTCACCATCCTCGAGGGACCGTTGTATCATCTCTCAAAGCAAAGACTTTTGGAGCGCGGCACACGTCTGAGAATGGGTGTACGGGTGGCAAGTGTTACGCAGAGCGTGCAGATTAGGCCGTGCACAACTGGAGAAACGAAGTGCGTGCAAGCAAGCGGGCGCAAGTGCGCCAGGCTACGCGGCTAATTGCCGCTAATTATCGCGGTTACCGCGGTTCGAGCTCTCCTCTCTGTGCTTCCACCGTTGCCTTTCGTCTCCTTCGCCACCCTCTTGCGAAAATCCGCCCCTGCACTCGCTTCCAATTCCGTTTCCAAAGGCCAAGGATATATATTGTTATGTTCTGTTTATCTCCCGTTTCATCTTCTACTTGTCATCCGTGACGAATTTTTGGGACGATGTTGAAGGGCGGAAAGTTGCTTTACGCTGATTATAAATTAGTTGGATAAGTTGAGTTTGAGAGATTAATCTTGGTGAGGTTTGAGTCGAAATTTGATCAGCAATTTTACAAATTGATTTTAATAATTTTTTCCTTGTCCAAAGTAAATATTTATATATATTATCTCTCGTTATTCGCGAATAATTCTCCCATCTTTATTTATCTTCAAAAAATTATTTATCCTTTTCCTGTAACTTCCAACCCCTTTTAACCCTCCTTAACTCTCTCTCCTTTTTTTTTTTCTTCTTTTTTCTCCAGATTCCTCCTCATCTATTTATACACGTTTACTCCTATCCTCTCTGTTTACTCTCTTAGTTTCGTCTTCGTTCGTCTAATTAAACATCCCTCCCCTTCCCACCCCGAAGGCCTTCGTTCGTTTCCGTCACTCTTGCGCTCCATCTCCGTGCTTCACCTCGGGCTCGTTACATTAATTAAACAATATTTGCGATTAATATTTGAGATAATCATCAGCGCCTCGAAGCAGCCTCCGCCGGCTGTTGGAGGATGCGGAATATCGCGCGTGCTAATCGGGTTAGCGCTTTCGTGAGCCCTCCTCTGCTTTCCTCATCCATCCTCTCGTGCACCCCTTCCATAAACATCGTAGACTTCGAAACTTTATTTTATTTCTTTATTACTTTATTCGATCGAATCGAAACGTAGAAGCCAACTTGACTATTTTTTTATTGTTATTCATTAAACTGTGAATATTCGTATATAAATTGTATCAATACTTTTACTTTGGATAGTTTAAATTTTCAAAACGACAGACTTCAAAATCGTACTTTATTTCTTTTATTTCTTTATTTATTAAACTGTGAACATTCGTATATAAATTGTACGAATACTTTGGATACTTTGGATACTTTGAATTTTCAAACTGATAAAGTTCAAAATTGTATTTTATTTCTTTTATTTCTTCATTTATTAAACTGTGAATATTCGTATAAATTGTAGAAATAGTTTACTTTGGATAGTTTGAATTTTCAAATCGACAAACTTATTATTTATTAAACTGTGAATTCATATATAAATTATAGGAATACTTTACTTTGAATACTTGGATACTTTGAATTTTCAAATCTACAGATTTCAAAATATGTAAAAGAAATATTTTATTTATATTTTTTATATTTTGAATTTTCAAACCAATAAACTTCAAAATTATGTTTTATTCCTTTTAATTCTTTATTTATTAAATTGTAAACATTCGTATAAATTATACGAATACCTTACTTTGAATACTTGGATACTTTGAATTTTCAAACCTACAGATTTCAAAATCTGTAAAAGAAATATTTTATTTCTTTTATTTCTATAAACTATGAATATTCGTATATAAATTTTACGAATACTTTATTTTGGATACTTTGAATTTTCAAACCAATAAACTTCAAAATTATGTTTTATTCCTTTTAATTCTTTATTTATTAAATTGTAAACATTCGTATAAATTATACGAATACCTTACTTTGAATACTTGGATACTTTGAATTTTCAAACCTACAGATTTCAAAATCTGTAAAAGAAATATTTTATTTCTTTTATTTCTATAAACTATGAATATTCGTATATAAATTTTACGAATACTTTACTTTGGATTTACTTTAAATTTTTAAACCGACGGACTTCAAAACCGTACTTTCTTTCTTTTATTTCTTTATTTATTAAACTGTGAACATTCGCATATAAATTATACGAATACTTCACTTTGGATACTTTGAATTTTCAAACCGACAAACTTCAAAATCGTATTTTATTTCTTTAACCATTCGATCGAATTGAAAAGTAGAAGTCTAAATTAACTATTTTATTGTTATTTATACTCTACTTTGAATAATTCGAATTTTTCCCCCATATTTTTATACATTCCAAACAAACGAAATACATCGCATGACTCAATTAGGATTATAAAACCCATTATCCACAAATCTTTATACAAGAAAGGAATAATTATAATAATTTGACTCCTAATTTCAACAAAATTCCCCAAATCAACTATCCATCCTCACCAATCTCCTCCAAAAAGAGAAACAACTATCAAGATCTATCTCCTTCCCAACATAATAATACAACATAATAATACAAAATGAATCAATCCAATCAATTCAATTTTCCAATCAATTCAAATTTAATCAATAATTCCTCCATTAATTACCAATTGCAGCACACCGGGTTTGGCGGCGGGTTTCAGGCCGGTCGAGCCGCCCACGTCGCTCTTCTTCTCCCCGCACTTGGCGGCGCAATTCTCGCCACCGTTGTTCGGCAACAAGGTGGTCAGCAGCGCGCCAACGTCCCTCACCTCGACGACGCCATCCCTGTGGACATCGAGCGATCACCGGCCTGGAAGCTTGCAGGACATGCTGTCCTGGTCGCCGGCCGGTTGGCCGGGTTCTCTGTGCGGCTGTTGCAAACCCGGGACCGGGGATCTTCACAGGAACAGCAGCCTGGCCGAGTTGAGGAGGAAGGCCCAGGAACACTCGACCGCCTCCGCCCTTCTCGGGGGGTTGGCCGGTTTCCCGGGTGGTCTGCCGCTGCCCTTGCCCCTACCGTTGCTCCCACCTCTGCTGGGACTGTCCAGGAGGCCGGAACACCATCATCATCATTTGCCAAGCATGGTTCACCAGATACAACCGAGCACTAAGGAGGATCCCTAGGATCTTGTGCGCTCCTCGTCCGACGAGCTCGATATCGTCGCCCCTTGACATCGGCCGCGTTTCTTGTCGGGGATGATGACGAGGTTGCGGTCAGGTCGTTGCACGATTCTCGAGGTGGCGAGTTCACAGGTTTTTCCCAAGTTTCGATGGATCGCTGGATCGCGTTTATCCCTGTGCCTCTTGCTTCCCCTCTCATTTCGTTGTTTAAGAATGACAATATTAAGGAAACGGTTGGATCTTTGAGGGAATTCGTTGGAACGGTTTTGAAGGATGGTGGTTTGAGGATGGTAGGCTGTACGTGGATGAGGTTTTATTAATTGGCGAAGGATCGTTAGCGATTTTGAGAATAATTTCTTCTTTCTCTTTTGAACCGAAGAACGATACACTGGTTGGTAAGTTTTAAAAAGTTTTATCCTTTTTTTTTTTTTTTTTGGATTTGTTAATTAATTATGTACAATTAGAGATGTTTAAATTTAATATTATAAATCATATAAAAATGAAAATAGATAAATAGTAGTACAGGTTGTTACGAAGAGAATGTAAATTGAAAATGCAATATTGAAATGTGCCTCCCCTTTTGATTAGATTTTTTAATAGATTTGAATAATGAAATTTAAATATGGAAGTTTGTGTATTATATATGTGTATATATGTGTGTGTATATACGTATTCGTATTGTTATTTTCAACGTATCTTTTAAACTATCACTTGTACGTGTCTCTATTTTAACTTAACTTCTAATTTTGAGAGTTTAAGATTTTATTTTTTTGTTGAAGGTAAAGGTCGTGGAATATTTTCTAACCGTGCCAGAAATATTGCAATTCTTAAACGCTATAACCATTTTTTTAAAAAGAAAAATCATTCGGCTCAGTCACGAATAAACTTTTTCTTTTTCATTTTTTTAATCGAAAGGGAATCATAGTTTTCCTTTCGAAAACTATTTACCGTTCAATTAAAAGTTAAAATCAAATAATGAAACCAATTTTGAGGAATTAATCTATTTCCACTACGATTCGCCAATAATAGCTCGATGAAAGTACAATAAAAGCTTTTAAAACTTTTTATGCCTCGAATCTTGTTCCGTTATCGAATAAATAAATATATATATAAAGATACAAATCCAATGACACAATAAATCTAAAATTTACGTCCAAAACGATGAAAAATCGAACTTGCACGTTTCAGGTTGATTCTTTTTTAAACAAAAATCATCCTTTTATCAACGTTAAATTGAAAAAGAATACTTTCCAAATTTTTCTTCTCATAGTCGATCGATAAATGAATCGACTCGTTAATTTCGAACGTGTAAAATTTCCAAAATCTTTTCTCATTTAACTCTTCCTTTTCTTTCCTTCCCCCCTCCTTCACGTGAATGCATATTTGCCTTAACGAAAAACCATGAAAGTCTATCAATTCAACGAATATCGAAGAATAGAATTCGAATTCTGAAATCTGTAAATAATTCACGGAACAAAAGATTCGCAGTGGATTGTTATATAATACAAATAAAGGTATAAAATGTGTACGAGAGATCGATCTACGTTAGAGAACTACAACTATAATATCGCTTCTCTGGATTTCACGAAAGGTTAAGCATCACAAGGACCAACACGTGCCTGATGCGCTCTAATGCTCTAATTTCCCGACAAGCGAAATTGGATGTTTTTAGGAACGTTCGTATGTCCGGACAACGGCCAGAATTTAGATAATTTTTAATTTATTTATATAGGCTCGAGGGTAAAACGGATATCCGTATTTCTACGACCCGATTCGGATGAAATTTTAAACAAGTATTCGTTGACAAGGATAATTAAAAAGATTTTATAATTTTCGTTTGATGAAATAATTGCAAAAAAAAATAAATCGTCCCGTTCATTTTAACGAATCTAACGATTTCGATTCGTTAAAGTGAAGAAAATATATATATATATATATATATAGAATTAACGAAGAAAAGAACAAAGTATTTTTATCATGGCTCAAAAAAGAAGGGGAAAAAGAAATATTTATAGGCTACGATCCAATAGCAATGTTCGATACACGAGATAATTTATATTACGTGATAGGATAATTTCTATTATCACCCTTAAATCGAGTCTATGACAATTTTCTTGAATTATATGATTACTCTATCGCATTATTCAAATAATACGGATATCCGTATTATCCGAGTAACACGGATATCCGCTTTACTCGCGCGGCACAAGCACGCGCCGGTTGAAATAATGTTTCTATCACTGGACGAGGGAAAAGAAAAAAAAAAAAAAAAGAAAAGAAAAGAAAAGGAAGGAAAGGAAAAATAAGAATAGAGAGGTAACAAATTACTGTCGCGTCGAATATTCGAATATGCGTGGATTGCTCGTCACCCTGACGACAACGGACATCCCTCTGAGAAGGGATGCTCGTTATTATTACGGTATTAATTTTTCAGGGAAAATTGCAAAAGATTTTCCTAATCCTTTTAGCAAAGGATGGAAGATAAAAATCTTCAATCTCGCTAATTATCGTTTGGATTCGTAAAAGGGGAATAAAGATATTGGATCGAGGTATAGAAGGAATAACAAAGTGCGATAACAAGGATAAAAATGGAGGGAATATGGTGTTAAATCTTTGCTTTGTTACGATTCGTTCGGGAGGAAATAATCGAACGATGCGTATATATTTAATTCTTCTAATTTCACGCGATTTGTTTACAACAATTTTTGAATGCGAATGAACAAAAAAAAAAAAAAAAAATAAGGGTGTCGAGCATCCTCATTTAAGAAGATAGACACGTTAATCGACGATTGATCGTACATGCCTTAAGAAAAAAAAAAAAAAATAATAATAATTTCCAACAGCGTGACAGTATAATTTTAGAGAAGCGAGGAGAGGTAAGCTGTACTGTACTGCACGAGTGTTAATCAATCGTAGAGAAGAGGAGGAAAACGATATAAAATGTGATTATAAATAGTATCTCAACAATCTCTACGATTCGTGCTCGTGATTGATTAACGATCGTTTCGTTTGCGTTGCGATTTCGAATTTGTCCTTATGGATTACGAAAGCGTGGTATAACGAATGAAAAAAAAAAAAAAATGAAAAAAAGAAAAAAAAAAAAGACACGTAGATACTAGTAGAGACCTGTATATTAAATCCCGGTGAATTGTCAGTGCTAATCAAGGATAATCTAATAAACAATATGTTACAAACTAGCAACTATTATGTAGCCTGAAATGTGGGTAGTGAATTATTCGAATAAACTTGTTCTCTCGTGATAAAACGTGTGTTTAATGCAATTAAATGGAAAAAAAAAAAAAAAAGAAAAAAGAAAAATCTCCCGTCTCCTGTAAAAATTTGTCTCCTCGTATCATCTTTCACGTGAATTTTTTTTTCAATTAATTTTCTTTTATATTTTAAATATAATACGAGAAAAATATAATATGTTATTGTTAATTAAGATTTTGTCGAAAGTTTGTCAAATAATTTTTACTAAGAAACTTTTTAATACCGCTAAATCTTCTTTCCCTCTTCGAATTTTCAATTTATAACAATACCTATTTAATTCTTCTTACGAAGTTAATTCGGAAAAATTGGAAAGTTCAAGTAAGAAAAATTTCGTTTTGATTTATTTCGATGGAGTTCTTAAAAAATTCTCATTTTAGACAACGATCATAACTTTATTTTTTTCTTTTAAATAATAATAATTTTATTATTATAATAATAATATTTATAATAATTATTTTATTTTTTTATTAATAATAATAATAATTTTAACAAATCGAAACGATTATAATTTTAATATAGGAAATAAGAAATTTCGAAAAAACGAACGAAGGAAATATAACGTAATCATAATTGTCCCGTAATTACGTTCGACTACTTATCCATCATTACTTATTTTCCCGAGGAAACGGTAATCGTATCTCGTTGGAAAATTCCATTTATAAATGACGATCGATGAAGATTTCCTAGAAGTTTTATAATCTGTTCGATCGGGCAAACTAAAATTTTCACGATCCAGTCGGCGTGGTATGCCGGGAAGGATCAGGTGTTCACTTAAGGGATCCCTGAATCAATTCTGTACCGAGTGATCAAAGGCTATAGTGAACCTATCAGAGAGATTTACTGGAGTACTAACATCTAATAGCAATTGAGCGTTGAATTACACGCGGTGTACAAAGGAAGGGATTGATCGACAACATGTATCCGCCGATGTATTCGTAATCAGTTTGAAACTTGGTAAGCAAACGGTTACACGTTCAACGTGGGTGGTTTCTTCGTCGAATAAATAAAATTATGCATAATACAATATACATTCAATGCGCAACAATAAAAACGGTTATTTCTCTAAAACGGAAAAATAAATAGATTCAAACTGCTTTGAGAAGAAATGAAATTTAAAAATTTCAAAATTCGTTCTCTTATAATTCTCAATTATCCGGAATATACGACATATAATTTTATACATTTATTGCAAGATTATATAAGAACAATTAAGCGACACCGTATTAATCTCATTTTCGATAAATCGACAACTAAATAATTCTTCGCTAATCGGTCTCCTCATTGAAACATTGAATAATAATAAAAAAAAAAAAGTAAAGACACCCGAAATAATTCGATTAAAGTAAATTGATCGTCCCAAACGACTTGTACTCTTAGTAGTGATATCTCTGTATCAAACAAATTTCTCATCTCTGGAAACCGCGTTGAATCGTTGATTTCTTCTTCTTCTTAAAAACGACTTTTCAAGAAAGAAGAGAGACCCACGTCCCTAAGAACCGAGACGAGGTGCCATGACACGAGACACAGTGAGGAATAGGGGGAGGGGGTTTGCACAGGGTCGAAAGAGTGATAGGATAAAGGAGGTTGGACCGTTTCAAGAGAAACACAGGCGGGTAAGGGGTTGTTGGCAATCAATGCTCCTCATAAGAAAAGCTCCTCTCTTATGGGATCAACCCTCCTCCTCTCCTTCCTCCCTCCCCTCCTCCGAGAGAGCTGCATCGAGAGAGTAAACGGGAGGGGAGGGCGGGATACGGAGGAAGCAAAGGGAGACGGCGTGGGGTAGGTAGCGTGAAACGGAAAAAGACAAACCGTGGGGGAATCTATTTCAGGTAAAACGAGAGGAACTAATGCGATAGAGGAGAAAGAAGAAGAAGAAGAAGAAGAAGAGAAGGAAGAAAGAGAAAGAAGAAGAAGAAGAAGGAGAAGAAGAAGAAGAAGAAGAAGAAGAAGCGGAAGCTCGACAGAACGGCGGAAAGCCGAAAGAGGGGAAGTGTGTTCACGGAGGGAGAGGAGAGGAAGGAAGAAGAGGAATCGGCGCCGCGCGAGAGGGATGAAAATGGGTCTCTGTTCGGGGGAGGACGAGGAGGAGGAAGAGGAGGAGGAGGAGGAGGAGGAGGAGGATGGAAGGCAGCAGGTGGGCAGAGGAAGAGGGACAAAACGATGCGAGGGGGTTGTTCCTGGCTCGACCAACCAGAGACAAGACGCCATTGATCGGCACGTGGCTAGGGGGTTGGTTCAACGGATTCCGACAGGGAGGGTGGAGGGTGGCCTGGAGAGAGCTCCTGCTTCTGGCTTCTCCTGTGAGAGAGATGCGCGTGGTGGTGGAACGGAGCCTCCGTAAGAAGGCTTGTAGGAGGGGTGGTGGAAGAGGTCGTGGGGAGGGGTGGTGGGTGCGAGGCACAGACGTATTCTGCACACTCCGTTACACTTACTGGTAAACCGTATTAATCAACGACATCATGGTTTATCCCCCCATCCCACCTCCTCCCCCTCCCCTCACTCTTTGCCATCCATCTACCTCACAACCTCCGCTCGCTATCCTCTCTCCCTCTCTCTCTCTCTCTCTCTCTCTCTCTCTCTCTCTCTCTCTCTCTCTCACTCACTCACTCACTCACTCACTCCGGAACTCCATCGCGATCTATGCGTGGAACCGACGTGTTCCCTTCCACCCTCCTCCCCCCTTCCACCCTCTCTCGTGCCGGATACGGATGCGGTAGGGTGGGCGGTTTGAGGGCGAGACGTTGGCAGGAGGGGGGAGGAGAGGGGAGAGGGGGAGGTGGAAGACTGATGATAGAGCGGGGGAGAGAGGGGGAGGGGGGAGGGGAAGTGTAAAGACGCGCGTATGCGAGGGAGATACATACATACGCCGCGAGACGAATGGGGGAGGGTAAGTGGGGGAGGAAAGGAAAGGAAAGGAAAGGAAAGGAAGGAGGCTGGAAAAAGAGTGAATTGATTGTAAGAAACGGGCCGCTCGGGGGAGGAGGGGGAAAGGGAGGGAAAATGAAAAGAAGCGCGGAATACGGTGGAAAGGAGCTTGGAACGGGGTTGAAGAGGAAATGTAGAGGGAGGGGAGAGGGGATGCTGGAAAGAGTTTAAAAGGGTTACGGAGGGGGGATAACGAATATATTTGAGGATGAACCAGTGAAATCGTTTAGAAAATGGATGGTGGATCGAAAATTAATCTTGCACGATTTTTAGGGATAAATATTTCGGAGAGAGAGAGAGAGAAAGAGAGAAGTAATTTGGAAGTTTTTCTCGGGGAAAATTGAATCGTATATGTAAGAAAAAGTGCGTGAATAAAGGATAAGTAAAGTAAAAACGAGGTAAGAGAAAAAAGGAGTTGGAATTGTAGGGAAAAAAGAGAAAAAAAGAGAATTGGGAAAAACAGATAGTTTTGGTGTAAATTGAAGAAAGAAAGGAAAGGTAGAGAGTGGAAACGAGGCACCAGGTCACTTTGGGAGAAGAGATCGACGCTTAACGATGTCTCTCGATACCCATTACGTAGCTAGCCGGGATTCAACGAGCCACTGCTACACCACCCCTATCATTGTGTACAATGGAGGAAGAAAAATCCGATTGATCCTCTACCTCTAACTTTAAAGCTGCCCTACACAATCAGTTTTGTTTGGTGATTTTTCCTCGTTTCTTTTACTTCGAATTTAACAAAAAATTGTACATTTAAGAGATTGAAGAAACTTATTTAAACTCATTAATCTTAAATTCAACGTAATATTTTCTAATAATTCAAATGCGTTGCGTCAAACAAGCAATATGGAACAAAATTTTCATGAATAACATGTTAATTTTGATTTCGAGGATATTACAATAATAATTAATTATAAAATATATTATAATTATAAAATATAATATAATTAAAAAATGACAAGCGTGTGAACGATCCTTTACTCTTAGGACGAATTCAGATCTCAGCAAGATCTCCTTAGACTAGCTGTGTTTTACAATTTTCCTAGAATCCTCCGTATTCCCTTAAAGTCAAATACGATTCTACGCTGAGTGGTTCGGGGATGAAGAACTTCTGAGAAAGTTGGTTACCGAAAATTTGAATATTGAAGAATATTCAAGAAACAAAAATACTCGATTACGGGATATTTATACGAGAGAAAAAGACGCGATAAATACACAGTTCTGCAAATTCATTTTTCTCCTTTTCTACGAACTTTCAATTCAAAAAATATTATTTTTGCGCGAAATCTTACGAGAAATAGAAAAGATTTAAAAAAATCATTCTTTAAAAAAAAATAACAAGATTCTTAATAATTAAGAGAGATTTTTTTAATAGAATATCATTACGTAGAATCCAAAATACGAGATACATTTTGTAATAAGACTAAAACAAATACAAAAGCTTACGTAGAAAAATGCCGATCGAGGCTTACTTACTATTAACTAATCGAAATTTCCATTTAGACGAAGCGAAAGAAAGAGATAGCTTCGTGTTCGTGCCACGGTGTGGCGCACCGTGTCATTCCGTCCTCGTCTCACGCTTCACCCAACGAAAACTTAAATTGCCTAATAACTTAATAAATAAGCCTCGGCCAATATTTTTATATACCAACTTTTACATTTATTCCTGGACTCGATTCCCCAAAGAGAATTTGTTCCACGAATACGTTAACATCCTGCGTAATAATCCCATCGATAAATAGCCGAGCAAAATAGTGGGCAAAAGTGATCTCATTTTTTTCCCCATAATTTCACCGATCCACCGAGTCGGAAACAGGTAGTTAACGCGGAGCAGGGAGGAAGGAGGAGCAGAGACAGACGCTGCAGCACCCTTGGCGGGTCGTAGAGCGTGCACTCGAGCTTCTTTGACATGCAAATTGCCTGACAATGAATTTCGTAAAACCTTTTACCGCGGAGTACGTTCTCGAGAGCGTACGTACGTAGCACAGGCAGCTGAAAACGCTCTTTCGCGGTCCCGCCCGCCCACGCAGACGAGCCTAGAGCTCGTCCTCCTCCTCCTCCTCCTCCTCT